TACGCTTGCGCTTGAGGGAAAGACTTGAAATGTGGTAAAATTGCAACTGAATTGAAAAAAGGTTATTTTTCCTAAAGCTACATGAATAATAGCAATGAACCTCCTAAAGTTTTAATATGTTAGGCACGCTTATACAGAATGTAGACCTATGAACTGATATATAATACCGTAAGTACATGAAGTTACTTTTAAAGGAAACTTGTGAAAGTTGTACTCAAAATCTTCGTGGAAAGTCTTTCGCAAATTGGTTCTTTCGCGCCACTCACTTTTCATGGTAGATAATGTCGGTTTATCACCAGTGTAGACTCCACGTGGGAGCCATCATCCTGTTCTGAATCGTACAATAGACATTTATGATATTAATCAATGCTTTCACACGAGCGTGTGGGATCTGTCGCACTGTAATCCCTTTGTTATTTGTCCCTACAGTGCACGTTCAAGGTGATGTGTACCACAGAAAAATACCTTTTTGTAATCGCTAGATATGGCGACCACATCATCCCTTCTAAGAGTCTGAAGTATTTAGCACACTTTTGCGGACCGTTCAAAGTAGCTCACTTAATATTCGGTCATGTAGCGACTAAGCGATCAAACGAAGCAAGACATACAGCCGAAGCAAAAGCTTCAATAAACGACTTCCAGTTTGTATGACATCTTTAATACCGCAAGAAACACGAAAGACGTTGGTTCGACATCGCTAAGACTTAAGTACGTCGTATTAAGCGAATCAACAATCTCTGTCACCACCTTTGTCTTTTCGGCTAATAGTCTTGAAATCTCGGCGCATTTCATCATTTCACTTGCCGTTGCTAATGCACGTTCACTTAATAATAATGCTTGTTTTCAAATATAAATTGTCTCGCTCTAAGTTGCGCACATGTTGCTTTAAATCAGCAAATTACACTTAATTCGCTACGTATCGTTCCCTTGTCCTTACCACCATCTTCCTCACTCTCGTTCTGTCTATCATCTTTATTCTCAGACTTGATTGTATCATCAATCTTTGTTCTTTAGACTTATCCGGACGGTCGTCGGATTGATGCAGTGGAAAGGGCTGAAATTCCGTGACTTCAGGCCCAGCGCGTACATTGCGGCTTTGTGCGACTCGGTCCTACTCTCATGCTGTGCGTCATCTATTTCACTCGGAATCGTGTCCAGTAGCTCATTCATCGCGATAACTCCTGGCTCTGCGAGCTGTTGCTTCGATCCATTACTCATCATTAGCAATCTAATTAGTGCATCCAAGTCTTCAATTTTTCAATGATATGCCATGAGCACCACACATACATTTCTCTTCGATAAATTACATCACAAACGAACTTACGAGTTGTCATCTTCCCTGTTTTTTCAAGCTATCCCTTTTCACCTCACAAGCATTCTGCTATCTCACACCTTCGTTCAATTCGTGCGCTAAGCTTTCCATCTGTGCTCCATTGCCCGCTAGTTGCAACGTCATTTCGACGTCATCTCGTTTGGTTTTAGCCTCATTCCAAACTTTCATGATTCTGCGTTTGATATCTTCAAGTTCATCATGTTCAGCTAGCAGTACAGCAAGATTAGCTTTTAATCCGTCCATTTCTTCTTGAAAATGCGCCTTCTACTCCATGATGTTGGGTTCGCAAGTTGTCAGCTCTTTCAATGAATATCTTTTATTGCTTCCCATTCTTTTAATCGCTGTAATGTTGCAACCAACGCGAAACGACGCTTGGCTTCTTCTTGAATCAACACTACTCCTTCGTTCAATTGCTACAATCTCGTTTTTAATTCTCGTTCCGTACGTCGAACCTGCTGCGTCTGTACCGTCAGGGCTTGTGAATCGACACGTGGTTGTCCAAAGTCTTTTCAATTATCCATAAAAACGCATTGCTCCATTATAACACCAACGTCTTGAGAAGTTGTATCCAGAACCAGATTTTACTTTCCGTAATTTACTAGCAAGAATAATCCTGGCACCTTCTTTGGCGCCAGGTGCTATTTTGACGACGCAATCTTTCGACCACCTAAGAGCGATCGCAACTCGCATACGCGGTGCGGATCAAATCTGTCACAGAGGACGTTACATTTGTAATATGAGCAAGCTCATAGTCTGATCTGCATAACAACGCGTCAGCAAAAGCATTCTGCTTTCCCGGCTTATACTTTACCTCGAAGTTAAATTTCGCAAATAAGGATAGCCATCTAGCCATCCTCTGCAAAAGATGGGGCGACTGAGTCGCAGTGCGTAATGACGCATGATCTGTGTAGATCACAAACGGCT